AAATGTTGACAATCGCAATGATGCTCGAAATGTCCTTTATAGGCCTACGTCTGTTTCCGGTTATTTTTATTTTGAAATTCAGTTCCTGACGGACGCCAAAAAAGCTAAGCTAAAGGATAATTGTGTGTTATTGGTGAGTAAATAACAGTGTGTTATTTTGAAAAGAATACGAATTAGAAGGAAACATTTTTTTAAAAATACAGATTTCCGTATTCTGAGCCCCATTTATTTTCCTCACAGACGGCAACAAAAGTCCGAAATCATACGATTTCAAATAAAAGCAATAACTGTGGCTTGATATTGAGTAAGAACATGTTTTTATGAACCACACAGCTTCCGGTCTCCCACGACCCGACCGGAGAAAAATACGTGCTGCAGGCAGTAGAAATACATTGCTTTTAAAATCGTGCTGTGCAACACGAAAAAAAAGGGGCAAATCGTGTTGGTGAACACGAATCAATAGATTCAAAATCGTGTTGGTGAACACGAAATGCCGTGAGACTGGGTTGGGTTGAGGGCTCCTTTCTTACCGCCCAGACGAGAGAGGGTAATGACCATAGACTGTATATATAAAGGTAATGACACATGGGCAAGGCCAGGCAGGAAACATGTGACTTATCAGTAACTTTAGACATCGTCGTAACACAATTTTAAACGATATTTTATTATAGATTATACATTTTACTGATACCAATTATATAATATTTACCTTGTTTATTAAAAATAAAAATAAAATAAAAAAATATTTTTTTTAAATATATTTTTTATTTTTATTTTTATTTGGTGTGTGGGAAGAGGTGGGGCGGTGCCCCTAGCACCCCTATGGGCCGGCCGCCACTGACTGAGAGTCCTGTTCTCTTTTTATTTCTGCCTTTACCTCTGTCTTATTGGTTCTGCTGTTGTTTTTCCTTCCCTGCTGATTTGTGTACACATGATAGACTGCTCTCTGTGTCTGTAGTCAATAGAAAACAGAGGATCTATTGGAAGTCTTCATTCATACTTGGGAGATGGACTCATTAAAATGTGCTCTTACTCTGAAGTTTGTCAACACAGAGTGGACAGGTGACTTTTACAACTCTTGTTTTGTCCCTGAGACTTGCTTTTCTGCACAAAAACACACACACAAACTTCATAGAACACCCACCAAGTCAAACATCCTTCCATTCAGTCCACCCTCTCTTCTCCTTTCCCCTTTGTTTTAAATATGATATTTGAAATTCAGTCACTGAAACACTCTCACAACTCCATTGGCAGCACTTACACCTTTGTCAAAATCATAATAACATCAATTACTTGGAGGCTTTTACCATACAAGGAGTTTATCTCAGTGTTTACAAGCTGCTCTCATTGTACCATATTCATATTGTGACAGGACCTCACATACAGTTTACATATGACTCTATGCATTTGTATACAGACACAATGTGTTGCTGACATATTGAGATTAAATACTTGTTATCTTATCGTTGCTTGTTATGTCTATGCTCAATGAGACGGCTGTGTTGATGTTTGAATATTGGAGATGAAACTGAAGTAATCAGTCTGATGAACTGCGTTGGCTTTCTCCTCAGTAGGACTGTCAGTTGCAAAGATAACTATAATAAATAAAGTAAAATAATAAAGTAAACTGTTTGAATTCCCTTCCACAGATTTCCTCCCTTAATATAAATTCCCAAAATAACAGATCTGCTTGGTCTGATTTGTAGTGCGTCTTCTCCTTACTTGTACGATAAAGGCAATTTGTTCAATTATTCGTTGCAATGACTACCTGATATCAGCTTGATATGGCCCCAAAAAGTTTGTTTCAATCACAGACTACACATTTTGAAATTGAATTGACCATTACAGATGAAATATTCTCTGTTTTACCATGTTTGAATGATCTTACATGTATGTCCATGACTTAGACTTTGACTGCAGCAATGTAATTAAATACTAACTGTGTCTATATCAACAAATGAGGCTTAAATGTTGTACACCAACATCTTTAAAAACGGCAAAGACATGTTGGTTTGATGCAGCAGTTTTCTTTCCTGTGCTGCATATCAGACTCTCAGCAGACAATGAACATAGTCAGGAGGACTCGGAGTTACTTTGGTTAAACTGTATTAAGTATTTAATGGTTAACAATGACATCAGGGCTTGGGAGAGAGAAACAAGTTGATATCTTGGCTAGACTAAATGTTGAACATCATCTAATGATAAATGATCCAAACATACACACTGTGTTTATTGACTCAAACGAGACAAAATTGGGTTTTCATTGACCATAACGTGACTTTAAAGGAACAGTGTGAGAGTGACAACAACTAACAAGAACATCTGACACAGGACAAACAAATAAAAACCAATAACTGACACAATGAACACTAGTATAGTGTTTTTAGTATAGTTTAGGGTTTTTAGTCTGCTTTTTGGGTTGACATGTCTCACTTTTAATGATGCCGCTGCTGTGAAATGGGGCTCTAGTGCGTGCAGTTGATAAGTGGATATTAGTTCTAAACAGACTAATGATTTTTAGAAAGTGCATACTAGTTTTTAAAAGGAATTAATGTAACCTCTCCTCAGAGCTACTCCTCTAAGCATGCTCGCTACTTTTCTTGCAAATCCTCAGCTAAGCCAACACACTTGAGAGCGCGAGCATTTCTTCAACCGAACCGCCGAACACTCCAGATCTCCACATGTGGGAATCCGACTGTGATGATGTTTGCTCTGGATGCACACACCCACCCCACTCCATCTCAACAAGGGGGGACATTTCCATGACAAAGGACAATTATTGACTTTCATTGGCTCCGCTTGCTTTGATATCAGCAAGGGGTGTGTCTGTGTGTGCGTGCTGGAGGGGGGGCGGTTTGAAGGGGGCAAGCCGTGGAGGAGAAGCAGAAGAAACAGGGGGACCTGATGAAAGGGACCGAGTGGGAAAATGCACCCGCTGACCCACAGTGCACTAACAGAAGAGGAGGATCACAGCGCAAAGAAATAAATCATTCATTAAGGCTTTCTTTCTTTCACTCCTCCTCACCGCTCCTGTATCCTTCCTAACTTTCTTGCTTGTGTTTTATTTATTTCTATATTCCCATCCTTTAACCTTCCCCCCCTCCCTTATTTAAAAAAAAAACTTTTTTACTGATCCTCCCCCTCTCTCTTCCCCTCCTCCTCCCTTTACAGCCATAATTTAAGGGGCTGAAAGGCACGGCGAGCGGAGAAAGAGGAGAAGAGAGCTGAGAAAAAAAGGGGAGACCCTGCAGATGAGGGCCTTCCTTCACGGACGTGGCACAGATGTGAGGGTGTTTTTTGTGAAATGAGTCGGGGAGGGGCGGCGATAGGCTAATTTGCGTGGCATAAAGACGGGGTCCTTTTCATATGCAGAGCGCTACTTTGATGCGCGGCCGATGAAAGCTGGAGGGAGCGCAGGGTAGAGGAGAAGAGAGGGTGACGGAGGGGTCCTTTGTCCCCTGACAAGAAGGCATCTGCTCCAGGCTGCCCTCCTCTCCTCCTCTCCTCTGCCTCACCCAGGCTCCCACAATGGGCCAGCCGAGGGAGAATAGTGTCATCAGAGCACCTTAGAAAAAACAGAACATGGAAAAAAGAAAAACAGCCGCTTGGGTTGGCCTGGTTGGTGTACGGGTATGCATATCAATACAGAATTCATTTGACAAAGATCTGAGAGAACACACACACACACATTGAGGAATACGTACACAGATGCACACTGAATTGTCAAACATACTGTAGACACATTAACATAGTTCCACAGCTGACAAAACACATCTTCACTTTGACTGATAGCTCCCATAGAGGAACAAATAAGCCATACAAACATTCCTCTTTTAAGGGACTCGACATCAATGGCTTGCAGGGTGAAAGGTGTGCGTGTGCGTGCGTGTGTGTGTGGGTGGATGGGTGTGTGGTGGAGGGATCAGAGGCGGGGCATGTGCTGAGGTGAGTGGCGGTGGTTTCTGTCTCAGGCTTCGCTGTGTGTAGAAGCCTTCAATGAGTGTGTTCATGTGTGTTTGTGTGCATGTATGCATAATGTGTGTCCTCGCGGTGCTGATCACAGGCGGCAGGCTCACCGGGGCCCTCACACCAAACACTGGCCGATTTCACGCTCGCACAATAGGCTGAATCCCTCTGCAGCAGAGCGTAGAGGGTTTTTGGCAGGAAAGCCTTAAACTGTCTCCATTGCTGTAGTGGTTAGTTTAGCAAATATTTTACCTGGTTAACTTCCTGTTTGGGCTTTGGTTTACTTTTAAAACTGTGATAATAACATGTCTGAGATGTACGTACACATTTTAGCTATGATAACAGCGTGACTCAAGCGATGGCAATGTTGTTTTTTTGGCAATATCACTTTAGCCCCGACTGAAATATCTCAATAGCTATTGATCAGAGTGAGAAGACATTTTGAAGAGTTGGTCCCAACATGAAAAACCCTACAGTCTTTGGTTATCCTCTGATACATTTGTGACTTTGAGTGAAATGTCTCTTCAATTATTGGATATATCCTGAAATTGTGTACCAGCATTGATGATCACCTCAGAATTAGTTCCTTTGACTTTAATTTCCAAAATGTTTGTCCAGCGTTTTAATCAGGTCTAAAATGTATCCAATATTTACTAAGTCTGTATTAAATGTTTCACTGCAAATAGTCCTGCCTTAGTTTAGGAAGGATGAACAGCTTATCACCTTAGTCAAGTACCATTAAACTGCCGTGATGTAATTATTTGATCGGACAAAAATGTCTATTCTTCCTCAATCGTACACTATCATTTAACAGCCTGAAAAAAATGGGTTGAGTGATTTATAAATGTGGTTGCTTTTGATGAAAGCTTGGCTATTTTAAAATGGAAGGTTTGTGCCTATGTCCAACAGGTCCTATGCACAACTTTTGCTAATGCAAAAACTAAAAGGAAGTTTGTGAGGCCGGAGAGCCTTTGGGTCTCCCGTCATGGTTATAATAAATGGATAAATAACTGGTTCCTATTGTCTCCTTGTAGGTGATCTTTGCCCTGAACCAGACGTTACTACAGCAGGAGTCTTTGAGGGCCGGAAGCCTTCAGGTCCCCTACACCACCGAAGACCTCATCAGACACTACAACTGTGGAGACCTCAACTCCATCATCTTCAATCACGACACCTCACAGGTCAGTCTTACTTCATCTTGTGTGATGTAGCAGTGGACTTTAAATTATTTCTCCCTAATTAATAAACTAAGAGTCATTTTGACCCTTTGACCCTTTGGAGTGTCCCAGTGACACGACCTTTGACCCTTTACTTTCACCCCTCAACCCTCTGACCGACCCTTCATCCCCCACACCTCCTCCTACACCCAGCCTCTCTATACATCGCCAATTTGGTTCTTCTGTTCCTACTTGCCATGTCTTTCTCTCCATTATTTACCCATTCACCCTCCTAACAATCCCGGTGCACCTTCAGTTCAAATACACATTTTTGATTAATGTATTTTTAGAATGTATTTTTCTTCGAATGAAAGACAAAACTAAAGGAATCTCCTCTCCCCCTTCCCCTTTTAACCTTCTCGGCTTAACCTGAACCATCCTCTCTGTACCCTGTAGGTCCCTAACTTCAACAATGTGACACTGCCACTCAGCGAGCAGGTGACCGCCCAGGAAATAGACAGCTACTTTCGACAGGAACTCATCTACAAGAGGAACGAGAGGATGGGGAACAGGGTCAAGGCACTGCTAGAGAATCACCCTGACAAGAGCTTCTTCTTCGCCTTTGGAGCAGGTTGGTGATCAATATTAAAATGCATAAAACAGAAACATTTCAGCTATCGACAGAGACATATGGGTCTTTATTTGTCTCTGTTCATCAAAGCAGTCGAGGAGATTACAACAACAAAATGGCTTAAATTCCTCTTTTTGTCAGGAGAGCACTTCTGCAAAGCAGAGCTTAACAACTGAGCAGCTTAACAGACTCATGGAGAGAAAGAGAAAACAGAGACAACTTAGAAAAGCGGAAACAGAGATGCTGGCCTCAGAGTTGGTACTGGTTAATTCGCTTCTCTCTGTAATCTGAAAGGCAATACAGCTCCTTTCAGAAAATAGAATATAATTTAAATATACAATTAAAAGATATTTCCACAATCCAACTTTTCCTCATTGGATGGGACAAATACGAAGATATGTCTTTTAAGATTCCACATCTCCCCCCCAGGGCACTTTCTTACCTACTTTTATAACAAATTCCCATTTGTTGTGTTTTACTTCTCATTGTTTGTTGATTCTGTTGATGTGCAGAATAAACTAAACTAGCCCAGACGAAACCAATGAATCTCCAGCGTTATCAGCTCTGGGTCCAAATAAAACAGAAACGGATGTGTCTATAGGGCGGTGGCTCAGTTTATAGCTGTGCAGAAACAGACCACTGGTCTGTTTGAGTTCTTTTACACACTTTCAGAAATGTCTGTTCAATTCTTTGAATTCCTCTATAACTATGCAGTAAGCTCATAAGAGGCTGATAAGGGAGGATAAAGAGAGCAGATAACAGCAAAGAAGATTCCAGAGAATGTATACTTCAATCAATCAATCAATGTTTATTTATATAGCCCAATATCACAAATGTTACATTTGTCTCAGTGGACTTCACAGTTTGTACAGAATATCAGTATGACAATACGACACCCTCTGTCCTTAGACCCTCACATCGTACAAGGAAAAACTTCCGGAGAAAACCCACAGTTTAAAGGGGAAATGGGAGAAACCTCAGGGAGAGCAACAGAGGAGGGATCCCTCTCCCAGGACGGACAGACGTGCAATAGATGACGTGTGTAAATTGAAAAGATAATACATTTGCAACATAGGTAGTCCAAATGTTTGGAAATGCATGTGTGTATAATAGGAAGATGAATCCACGAGGATATCCATCCAATACCTATGATCCAGGACCACAGCCACGACTCAAGATCCAGGGCTCGCGATGCAGGACACAGGACCGCAGGATCATCCATGACTCCGGATCCCAGCGTATATAGACACCAAAAAGAAAGAAATTTGGGGAAGCTGGGTTAATCGGAACATGAGAGTACACAGGTATAGACAGAGAGAAGGAAGAAGTAAGATGTCCCCCGACAAACTAAGCCTATATCAGCAAAACTAGGGGCTGAATCTAATCAGCCCTAACTATAAGCTTTATCAAAAAGGAAGGTCTTAAGCGCACTCTTAAAAACGGATAGGGTGTCTGCCGCCCGAACACAAACTGGAAGCTGATGTGGAACTCATGTGTGGTAACTGACCTCAACATTATAGAAAACCCTCGTGACCACTAGAACATACAAACAAAACATTTGGTCACCGTCAGACATCAGTTGCAAACTTCAAGTAGCTCGACATGTCCTGACATAGCCAAGATGCCCGACCGCATATACTTAAAGAAAATAAGTCATGATACCTGCACATAGTTAGCACATGTTAGCCTTTTAGCCGGGCACAGCCACAGGTTACGTTACTCAGCCTATTCCTCCTCTCTTGTAATCTGCTTGATGAAGTCTTCCACAGCAGACGGGTTCTCAAAAGTGTGCGACTTGTCCTTGTAGGTTACCAGGAGCCGAGCCGGCAATAGCATGCCATACCGAATCCCCAGGTTCCGTAGTTTCTGACGGACATTATCGAACGTCTTCTGCCGCTTGTGCACTCCTGCAGCCAAGTCTGGATAAAATCTCAATAAAACATTAGAGCGTTACTTACGTTTCCGGGAGCTGTTGATAACACTATACTGGTCAAAGGCAAGAGGTCATTAATTTTGTTTCTAAGAGTAACAATTGTATCGTTAAAAAAGCACATAAAATCATTACTACTGAGTGCTATGGGAATAGAAGGCTCAATCGAGCTGTGGCTTTCTGTCAGCCTGGCTACAGTGCTGAAAAGAAATCTTGCATTATTCTTATTCTCATCTATTAATGAAGAGTAGTAGGCTGCTCTCGCTTTACGCAGTGCTTTTTATATTCATTGAGAGTAATATGCCAAATTAAACGAGATTCTTCAAGTTTAGTGGAACGCCATATCCTTTCAAGTTGTCTCGACTTTTGCTTTATTTTGCGGGTTTCGGCACTGTGCCATGGAGCTAATCTATGTTGTTTTATTTTCTTCTTTTTCAAAGGAGCAACAGAGTCTAATTTTATTCGCAGCGCATCTGTAGCACTATCAACAACATGATCAATTTGGGGTGGTGTACATTTTGTATACGTTTCCTCCCCTACATGCAGACATGCTATCGAGTTAAGTATTGGTGGAATCTCTTCCTTAAATGTGGCTATAGCACTAACAGATAGGTTTCTGCTGCAGGAGCTTTTGACTAATGCTTTGTAGTCTAGTAACAGTACTTCAAAAGTTACTAAGAAATGGTCGGATAAAGCAGGATTATGCGGTTCGACTAATAGTTGCTCATTTTCAATACCATAAGTCAGAACAAGGTAGAGAGTGTGATTATAGCAGTGGGTTGGTTTATTTACACTCTGACAGAAACCAACAGAATCTAATAAGAGTTAAATGCAACAGTAAGGCTATTTTTATCGTCGTCAACATGAATATTAAAGTCACCTACGATAATGACTTTATCTGTTTTAAGTACCAAAGTTGATAAAAACTCAGAGAATTCTGATAAGAATTCTGAATAAGGACCTGGTGCACGGTACACTGTAACAAATAAGATTGGCTGCAAAGTTTTCCAGGTCGGATGCGTAAGACTAAAAACAAGGCTTTCAAAGGAGGTATAATTTAATTTTGATTTAGAATTGATAAGGGAGGCGTATGGCGCAGTGGATAGAGCCTTGGTGTTGGGGTCAGGGGGTCACAGGTTCAAACCCCACTGCAGTCAGTATGTCGTTGTGTCCCTGGGCAAGACACCCTAATCGCACCAGCTGCGGCTGTGGCGTTTTTAGCGATCGCGGCCACTCTAGTCAATGGGTGCTATTCCACCAGACACGCTGCGCCGCGTTGCGCCGCGGCTCGAAGCGTCCCAGAAGCTCCTCGCCGCAAGGAATTTCTAAAATATAGGATGAATCCTATTTTTGACGCGGCGCAGGCAGAAAGTGGAATGTTCATCCAACAACTGCGAGGCTGCACACAAGACGCTCCGCTTCCGCAACGTTTTGAAACGCGCCTGGTGGGTTAGGACGCAGGAGGAGGTCGCAGCGCGGCGCAGCCGCAGCGCAGACGCTCCTGGTGCGATTAGGGGGTAAGTCGCTTTGGATAAAAGCGTCTAACAAGTAACATATAATGTAGTAATAAGTAAACTTGAGTCAAAGATTGCTGCAACTCCACCTCCTCGGCCCGTGCTTCGGGCAATATGAGTATTGATGTGGAGTGGCCTCATTTATGCTGACATATTCTTCATGTCTCAACCAAGTTTCAGTGAGACAGCATATATCAATATTATAATCTGATATTAAATCATTTACCAATATTGCTTTAGATGCTAGAGATCTTATGTTTAAGAGACCACATTTAATCTTCCTGTTTTGTTGCACTGTAGTAGTTGTTACATTTACTTTTATTAGGTTATTATATATGACACCTTTATTAGGTTTTACCTTAAATTATCCTTGATTTTACTTAAGTGTGTGTGTGTGTGTGTGTGTGTGTGTGTGTGTGTGTGTGTGTGTGTGTGTGTGTGTGTGTGTGTGTGTGTGTGTGTGTGTGTGTGTGTGTGTGTGTGTGTGTGTGTGTGTGTGTGTGTGTGTGTGTGTGTGTGTGTGTGTGTGTGTGTGTGTGTGTGTGTGTGTGTGTGGGGGTGTGTACGTCTGTGCTTACTCATTTAACTTGATTTGACGATGTATATCTAAAGCAGACCATCGTATTTCCCCCCCTGATTTCTTAATCAAAGCTTTGCCTGGACCTAATAGGCAAGAAGAAGATGGAGGGCTATTTTGCAATCATTTCTTCAAATTGGTTTTCAGTCTAGATGAAGTTTTTATTTTTATTTTGCCCAATATATGCTGTATTTTAAATATAACATATTTTTAACACAAATGTGTATAAGTACAAATAAATTATATGTTCAAAAGAAATACTACAAATGTTACAAGCCTAAATACATACACTGAGTTTAAGTTACATTTGCAGGTAAATAATCATTTAATTAAATATTTATTTTAGTTCCTGTGGTCATAATCACCTTTGCCAGGAAAATGTGATTCTTTCTTTTTTAAACGTGTACAAAATCAGTATACATCAAAAATGAATTTCTAACACCTTCAATTTAAAGTGTAGGTAACAACAACTGAAATAATTTCTTCATATCATAAAAAGTACTAAAGAAATGGAAAATAGACAAATCCAAATCAAATGTCACCCTTTTTTATAAATCTATCATCAGATGTGAAGAATGGTTTCAACATGTTCACTTTATGAAACTATAGTACAACAAAATGGTTGAATTAGAATGTCTATTTCACATAAATGGCACTATATTGACTTTTAAGTTACCTAAGTCATTTTTACTATCGCTGAAACCATAAAAGCCTTAAGAAAACATTTTTACAGCAAAGGGCATGTTCACTTGGAAAGAATCTGTTTATCCAAAATTGTATTTAGCTCATTATGGGATATGTTTGGAGAAGAGAGGATCAATGTTCAGTGCCATCAATTTGAACAGTCAGATTTTCCTTGTGATGACATCGTCAGAAACGTCCTGATTCAACGTTTCTTTGGTCATTTCGAGGCAGAGAAGCAGCAAAGTTTGAGCAGAGCGAGCGAGAGGCCTTCACAGTCTGTTGGTCTCTGAGCTGG